GCTGTTAGGTTGCTGCGAGGCGGCTAGTCTGAGGAGCTAGAGAGACCCGAAGGGCAGGAGGGGAAAAAAAGAGGAGGAAAAGGGGAGGGAGGCAGACTGGCAGGCAGGCAGGACAGCGCCCCCAAACCCTCTGACCGCCCAGGACGCGCTCGGCACTCGGACTCATTTCCAAAGGGGCTAGCCCCGAGGCTGTAGAGGGGTTGGAGAGAGGAGGGAGACCCTGCTCTTCTTTGCTCTCAGTAGCTGAAGGACCCCAGAGCTGGGCTTGAGTTAGTGCACCAGACTCCTGGACCCCCAGCACATTTAATGTTAAATTGCGGTGAGCTGGAACCCCTCCTCCTGCCACCCCATAATCACCGAGGGGTGGCATAAGCCACCTTCCTACCAAGTTCCCAGTCCTGGGCTTATTTAGCCATGAGTTTCTTAAACTGAAGGCTGGAGGAGAGTTTCTCATTTTCTCACTAGCTGGAAAAGATTAATTAATTAATTAATTAATTCAATTATGTACACTTAGAACCTATTTATTTGCACTGTTCTAGATGGAGATAGTAGGAAACCATTGTTCATCGATTCCTGAATTCATTTCTGGGCATGTTGAGTGGAACGGTGAGAAGTGATGTCCAAATAAGTGCGGGTGGTTTGTTTTGTTTTGTTTTTAAAGAGCGGGTAGAATTTAAAGTGTAAATAGAATAAAATACTAAGAATTGAAGTCCTTTATATAAGAGCCAGAAAGACACATTTCAGTTGACTAGGAAAATCTAAAAAGAAACCACCCGACCTCTCATCCACAGAGCCCCTGCACCACAATGTCATCTCTTTCTCTGGGACATCTATCCTCATCTTTCTGGTAAATAATTCCCGATTCAAGGAGAACTTTTCCCTGAATCCCTCAAATGTAGGTGATCACACCGCCATCTGTGCCACCAGAGACTTAGGTACTTTCCAGTATCCTGATGTTGTGTGGTGTGAAGACTTTTTCCGTCTTCTACATAAGGTCATGGAGTGTCAAGCAGACATCTTTGAGGCAGACAGTAGGGTAAGACATCCATGGGCTATGAGAGTTCTATAGTACTCGGCAGCCATGCAGGTGGCTCTGGTGTAGTCAAGCTCTGGGACCTTGGTTTGGGCAGTGAGGGAAATGGTGGGAGGGGCTCCTGGCTTACCTGTGCCTGGGCAGGGATACCTGACAACTTATCCTGAAATACTAGGACCAGGTTCTGCTTTCTGCTTTCTGTACTGTGCTTCCTGGAGAGTCCCTCTCTCTCAGATATCACACTTCTCCCTACAGCTCAGGATGTAAGCAAGGAGGTTTGGAATTTGGTGATGACCTTGACACCAAACAGTCTGAGGTTAGGGCAGGACTTGGAAATAAGGAAGAGTGGGGTCTGGAAAGTAATGGGATTGATTCCCCTGTAGTCATTAGGTGGTGAGAGAGATGAGCCAGGCTCAGCCTGCCCACTCCCAGCATGGAGCTTGTGTTGGAGGAGCTCGAAGTCTCTAGGAGCAGCAACTCTTCCTCCACTGGAGTGGCCTAGGTAGCTACACACACACACACACACACACACACACACACTTACAAATGCATGCACACGCGCAGGCACCAGCATTCTGCTGCCTGTGAAATCCCAATGCTCCAAGCACCAGACCCTCACCTTCCCTGCCGGCTTCCTCCTGTCCAGTCAGCCTTCCTTGAATCTGCATCCTCTTAGGTTCTAGAAGAGGAATGTGACCCTCAAAGAGGAAGCACAGCTGGGCCTATGTACTGACTTCCTCGTGGTTTACTTTGCGTGTCTTAAGATAATTAAAGCTAGACTAGACCAACCCCTTCCAGCCCCCTGCCCCACTCTGGGAGCCTGTACACTCCAAATATAAATAGCTCCCATTACTTTGTTAAAGGATTTCCGTCATTGCTGGGGTTCCAGAGCCAGGGACATCAGAGAGTGAAAACCTTTGACCAATGTAGCATCATTCAGTTTGGGGGGGCGGGCAGAGAAGATCTTTCTGAAGCTGCTGTTCCACATCACTGTTCTGCAAGCCTAGAGGAATCACGCACACACACACACACATACACACACACACATACACACACACACACATACACACACACATACACACACATACACACACATACACACACATACACACACATACACACACATACACACACATACACACACATACACACACATACACACACATACACACACATACACACACATACACACACATACACACACATACACACACATACACACACATACACACACATACACACACATACACACACATACACACACATACACACACATACACACACATACACACACATACACACACATACACACACATACACACACATACACACACATACACACACATACACACACATACACACACATACACACACATACACACACATACACACACATACACACACATACACACACATACACACACATACACACACATACACACACATACACACACATACACACACATACACACACATACACACACATACACACACATACACACACATACACACACATACACACACATACACACACATACACACACATACACACACATACACACACATACACACACATACACACACATACACACACATACACACACATACACACACATACACACACATACACACACACACACACAGAGACAGAGACAGAGAGACAGAGAGACAGAGACAGAGTCAGAGAGAGAACGCTTGCACATGAGACAGCCTTCTTACCACCCAAGAGCCTTTAGGTTATGTAAGTTGTCTCTCTGGGCTTTGCCCTCTCTCTGCCTCTAAGTTAGAGAGATGGGTAAATTGCAATTTCCATCTGGCTTCTGGCTGCAGCCCTCCTTGCATCCCTAAATTTGTGTATAAACACTATGCACAGAGACTTATGCCACACCAGGCTGAGGGAGGTGAGTAGGCAGGGCTGGGAGGAAGAACTGGTTCTTACCGGCCAGTCAGATCAGGTTCCCGCGGAGCCTCAGGGATTAGAAGTAGGCTGTCTCTATTCTAATCTCAAAGCTCATGCTACACGCAGTACCCACCTGGAGTAGATTAGTGTCATTCTGAACCTCAGTCTCCTCCTCGAATTGACCTCTCTGTTTCTTTATAAAGATTTACTTATTATTATGTATGCATTGTCCTGTCTGCATGTTAGTCAGAAGAGGACATCAGATCCCACTATGGATGGTTGTGAGCCACTGTGTGGTTGCTGGGAATTGA